GGATGTTGTAGGATGGAGTGGGGGCTGCCCACTCATCACCTGCTTCCCTGTGAGCCCCTCTGGTGCCAGGAGATGTGAGACAACCCTTCAGTGTTTTAGGATCATAATACCACAGATGTATTGTGACAATACATCTTTTTAGAGAAACCACTTTTCACAATCTGTCTAAATTTCATCACGTGGCTGAGATTCTTCTAAGGGATGTGGCGCCTCAGAAAGGCAACCAAAGTGAGTTAGAAAGGAACAGGGGCTGAGCTGAACCTCTGGAAACCTGGATGAATTATAAGAAAGGATTTGGAGGAGGATTTTGGAAAGGATTTGGTGGCATCTTGCTGTTTGGGGGTTCCCTGCAAAGGGAGAAGCACTTAAGGTATCTACAAGAGAACAAAAATCCCCTCTGTTATGAGCAGATGGACATCCTTTAATTTGACTTCTTCACCAGGACTAGCTGGACAAAAGGAGTAAAGTCACTCCTGGTGCTCAGTTTTTAATATTTGGTGGGATCAAGACCCCCTCAGGGTCTTACCCCGGGTCATTTGGCAAGTTGCACCCTTGCTGTTCAGCATTAATAAATTAAGTTATTTTCCCTGTGTTCGGGACCCCAGAAGGACATCCCTGGAGGAAGCTCTCAAAAAGCCTCTCCAGGATGAATAGCAAAACAAAGCTCAGGAATGACAGAATCCAGGGAGAAGCAAGCAGCTGTAGGAGTCTCCACACGCTGCTCCTGATGTGTCAAGGACTTTTGACACGCCGAGAAGGTGGTGACCTTGAAAAGTCAGCAGAGTGGTGCTGTACAGTGAGGTCATCCAGAGCTGAAACCTTCTCTTTTTCTGAAAAAACCTCAGAGCAGGTATTTCCTGCATATTTCTCCCTCCTAACCTGGCTGGGGTGTCCATTCCAAGAGGGAGGGTACATGTAATTTATTAAGAAGGTGGCCAGGTACTTATTTACAACGGCTCTGCTGAAGGAGCAGATAGATTGAGATAAGGGAAATGAAGAGCTCTCTAGGTGTGTTGGCAAAGAAAAATGCTCACTGGAGGTTGAATTAAACACTTCAGGGCATGCAAGGCTTAAAGATAAGCTAAGAACTTTGGCTGTGGACATACAGAGCAGTGTTTTCATGGCTCCTCCTGCACTAATGGGAAGAAAAGCCTGATTGGTTTGAAAGGAACAACTCTTTGACCCTTTCCTTTGGTTCAGACTTGAGCAGAGCCTGTTCTGGGCATGAGTGTGTTTGTAAAATTGAGAGCTTCAGGAATTCTCCACGGAAAAGGAGAGGTTGGGGTCAGTGCATCCAGGAAGTGGTGGTGCTTAGGGAATTTGAAGGTGATGCCTGGTTAGACCACAGTAGATGACACTCAGCCCATTTCTCGACACCACATTTTCAAAATTACCCACATGAAGGAGATTGTTTAGGAGGAGAACTCAGGAGAGTGGAAAAATGCAAATGGCAGGTTTGATCATTGGAAACAGTGAGGAAAAAAAATGAATGATGGGAGCTACGAGAGAGTTGAGCAACTCTGAAATGAGATTCCGATCTTTATAGACTTTCCCAATCTTTTCTAAAGGTTTGGTTGTTGGGTTGTTGTTGGGTTTTTTCTGGGTGGAGGAGAAGGTTGGAAGGTTCATAAGGTTCCCACCTGATGATCAATAATAATGACAGGGAGCTGAAAGAACTGGGTTCTCCTAAAGATAAATTGACTTTAGAGAGGGAGAAAGTGTTTACACCTGGAAGCAAAGTAGAAACCAAAAGAGGGTGCTCGGGGAGATGTTATCACACTCCAGGAGCTGCGAGTGAGCCAGGAGCAGGAGCAGGAGGAGGAGGAGGAGGAGAGGAAGGTGCTGAGCTCTGCTCAACAGCAGAGCCACTGCTCACGGGGAGATGCTTTGAGATTCCACCCTGCACCTCCAGCTGAGGGTCAAGTGGCTCCACAGTGCCCCATGAAACGCCAAATTTGCGTTGCACCGTCTCGGGGCCTGATGACACCTTGAGAACAAGGCTCTTGCTGGAGATTGTCTTTTGCAGATTAAACTTTCCAGACTGTAACGCAGATCAAAGTGAGGTGTGACTGTTTCCCTGCTGTACTGAGCAGGGAGCAGTGTGAAAAAGCAATTAGAGGTATTTCTATATGATTTTGGGTTTTTTTTTAATCTTAGATAACCTTCCCAGCAACGGAAATGAATATTTGAGGGCACCAACCTATAAACTCCTCTTCCTATGACTGGTATTTTCATTTTACCACTGTAGTAACCACCAAAAAAACCCAACCCAGAGATAGGCTTGAGTTTGGCTGTTCATATGGTTAAAGTTTATGAGGTTGGAATCCTAAACTCCATCAGGGGCCTACTGATACAGGTCAGAAAATCCTTCTGGCTTCACAGCATTGTGGATGGAGCCTGCAGCGGGTTGATGGTAACTCAGTGGATGCTTTATCTTTGTTGGGAAGTGGGTAAGGGACTTTGGAAAGCTTTAGGAAGGATGTTGGTGACTGTAGTTGATGTGGAAACAAACTCTACAGATGTTCCCACAAAGTTAACCTCAGACACCAGAAAACATCCACATTTTTGACTCCCGGTAGTCAGTGGCTGGAGGATGAGTAGGAACAAATAAACTAATGTTTTTCCCTGGAGACCAATAAAGGAATCTCTCCAGATGGTTTACAGAGACAGGACCACTTACCTCCCAATCCTAAAGCTGGGAATACCTCCTAAGTCCCAGTCTTGTGGGAGTTCAAACGCTTAAAATTCGGGTATGTGGCACCCAAGGTGACGGAGGTAACTCAGCAAGTCCTCTGAAGCCTGAAACAATGTTTTAGAAGGTGTCTTTAGTCCAGAAATTTTGGTCCAGTGCTTTGTATAATATTTAACAGAGAAACAAGAATGTACACTTGGCACAGGCTCCATTTCACAGATGGCATTCTGCCAGCTGTGTACCCTGAATTAATCTAAAGCTCAAAAAACCCCATATCTAGCCACTGAGATGAGGAAAATTAGTTTAATGGGTCCTTTCCTCAGTTTTTTCCTGTGGGTTCCTGCAGAAACTTGTCTCCTTCCTCCAGCTGAGCTCCTCTGCATGGCCTTCAACCCAGGGCTGAACTTTCCTGGGTGGGATAGTTTCAAGGAACTTCTCCATCCTCGTTGTCAGGGATCATGGAGTGATTCACCTGGAGATTTCCAGGGTGCAGACATGCCCCAGCCACCCAGGGGGGTTTGAGTCTCGCCAGCACAGCCTCTGGGGGCCAGGCCATGATTCACCTGAACTGGGCAGGGGAAGTGTGGCCTGGAAATGTCTGCTTCTGTCTGATTGCAAAAGCAGCCTGGGGTCGGCAGATCAGCTGGAGACACCCCAGCAAGCACTGGAGTGTGAGTGACAGGGACACAATTTTGGGTCAGGGTGAGCTCCTTCCTCCCTTTTAATGTGATGGAAAAAAGGGGCACTTCTGGAGGGCAGTTCATGCCATCCGTCTCAGCCTCCCTGCCTGGGGTAGGATGAATTGTCCTCTAATGTTGAGATTAATCATCTCCCAGAAGTCCAGCAGAGCTGGAAAGAGGTATCTAAGTTCAGGAAATCAGCTGGAAATCCTTTGCTTTTCCACAAACCTTCCACCTTGTCTGTCTAAAGTTCATTTAATGGAAGGCACCTTCTTGGCTGAGCTGATTATCCAGGTTCTAAACTCCTAGCTGGAGCCATTTGGGATCCTTATTTGCTTGTAAGGCTTAGTCTGAAGTTGGCAAAGCCCTTGAGATGTAGCTCCTGACCATGTGAATGTCACCTTCTTCTCACTTCTGTCCCCTCTTGACCAGATCCTCTCCAGGCAAGGAGTTAATTGGCTGCAAGGACTCTTCTCTTTAAAACAAAGTAATTTTAAAATAATTTTTATCCTAGCTTAGAGAACTGCTAAAGTCAAGCTAATTTTCTTCTGGACTTTGGCAACGATAGAATTCTTGTGTTATTTTTTAAGTGAGAGCAAAAGAGAGTGAAGGCTTTATTCCCTGACAGCCCTGTTGATAATTCAAACACACCAGGCTGTTCCCTAATGAAAACCACACAGCAAAAAATGAATGTAAACAGAAATACACACTGCCCAGGCAGGTTCCTCTTTGTCATTAATTCAGGGCAGAAAAGACAATCAAGAGATTTAATTAGAAGAAAAGGAAATTATACTCTAAAAATCCCTTCAGTTTTAGTAATCAAGGTTATTATTAGAAGCACCAGTAAAAAACACTTTAAAAATCTATCTAATTAGCTGCATATCTGCTGATCTCCCTGCAGAGCTGACTTGTTTGTCTCCAAGGCTTCACCAACATGAAGGTTTATGGACACTCTTTTCAAGACTTCCACTGGGCTGAGCACTGAGTTTACACTCAAGTTTAATTGGGATTGGTTTTTGGTTGTTGGTTTGGTTTGCCTTTAATTTCACTCCCCTCACTTTAAGCAAAGCCCCACAGAATGATGCTGTTCTCCATCCCAAATTCTTGGTGCTGCATTTCCAGAGACCCAGAGCTCGATGGCTTCAGCTGCTGGAGTTATTCCTTTGGGTAGCTCTGAAAGTGCTTGTGACTCAGCTGCCAAAATTTCCTATAAAACATCTTGTACAGGTGTGCTTGTGTCTGAGAGAAAGAAATGCATGTTTGAACCCCTGATTGCATAGGAAATTGTCTGTATGAGCTGAGTGAGGGAGGGAGGGAGGGAGGGAGGAAGGAAGGAAGGAAGGAAGGAAGGAAGGACATATTTCACAGCACAATGATGAATTAAGGCTTTGGGAGGATAAAGAAAAGGGCAGAGGAAGATACTAAAAGTAGTGTTTTTTGCCTTGCTGGTCATGTGAGGAACTGCAGGAGATATTTTGGGGAACGATAACAATGAAAATGGTGTTTTCTGGTGAGGAGGAATGCAGAGAAACTAAAGATGTTGATATATTCTGTCCCCATTCTTCTTAACCAAGCACAAAGGTAAAACCCAGCCTGACTGCATCTCTTTTCCCATTTTTCTTGCCCAGGTCCCTGGCCATTGGTCACCAGTACTCATCCCTGGGGACTCAGCCCATCCTCTGCGGGAGCATCCCGGGCCTGGTGCCCAAGCAGCTGCGCTTCTGTCGGAACTACGTGGAGATCATGCCCAGCGTGGCAGAAGGTGTAAAGATCGGCATCCAGGAGTGCCAACACCAGTTTCGGGGCAGAAGGTGGAACTGCACCACTGTCAACGACAGCTTAGCCATCTTCGGGCCCGTGCTGGATAAAGGTGAGTGAGGAGCTGCGGGTTTGGGAGGATGGATGTGGCAGCAGAGATCTTGAGAAACCTCCCGTGAGCTTGTTCCCTTCTGAAAAAAATCCTGTGAAATGTGCTGCAAGAGACAGGGCTTGAGCTGGATAAAGGAGTAGGGTTATCTCAGTTCCAGCTGGGAGGATGAGGTTGGACTGGAGACCTCCCTGAGTCCCTTTCAGCATGAGTTATCCCATGATCCTGCACCCCTGGGAATGAGCACAGGGGGTTACTGTGTTCGCAGTGCTCAAGCTGGACCTGGCTCCTTTTCTGAGCCCGTGCTGTGATTTCAGCTCTCTAGAGGATGGCAGAGGGGAAATGATGGGCTGTTGGGGATGGTTCCTAGAGACTGGACTTCTCAGATAATAACAGTTTTTATACTATCATGGAATACAATGAAGATCAAAGGCCTGGGGAAATCACCATCAATTAATGCTTCTGCTTTCCTTGGTTGTGAACACAGTAAATTAGGACAGGGTGCAAATTCAGGCACCTGTTTCTGCACCCTTTGACAGAAGTGGGAACTCTTAAAAATTTTTTTGTCCTAGGTTGTTGAATCTTGTGAGATTTAAGCCCTAAGCTAAGCTTAAGTATCTGATCTTTTCCCTTATAAGTTGGTACCCCCCTGTGAGAACTCCATTATCATCCTTTGAACTTGTTGGGTGTCTTTTAAAATCCAGCCTGCTCCTGCTGGTCTCACTAAGTCTGGGATAAGTTTTACCTTTCCCTTTAGCACAAAAGGGTCCTTCCTTCCTTCCTTCCTTCCTTCCTTCCTTCCTTCCTTCCTTCCTTCCTTCCTTCCTTCCTTCCTTCCTTCCTTCCTTCCTTCCTTCCTTCCTTCCTTCCTTCCCTTCTTTCCCTTCTTTCCCTTCCTTCCCTTCCTTTCCTTTCCTCCCTCATATGAAAGAGGGAGCATCTGGAGTATTTTCATATTGTATATAATTGATCTTTACCCACCTTGGGGTATGCTCTGCAGTGCTTCCCATCTGGTTTATTTTTTAGTTTTCCCCCCACTGCATTACTCAGAACAGATTTGGGCGTTTTCTTCCCCCAGACCAGGTTGCTCCAAGCCCCATCCAACCTGGCCTTGAGGACTCCCAGGGATGGGGAGTCCACGACCTCTCTGGGCAATGTTCTCCCAGAGAGTCTGGGATTTTACACCCCACATCTCCTGTAGCAATTATCCTCATGGATAAACTGCTCCTCACGTCCCTGCTGACCGGAGGAACCCCAATCCCACAATCTGCCAAATTCCCTTATCTCCCACAGTGCCGGCACCAAGGGTCTGTCCCTGCTCCACACTGGAGGCTCTCTGTAGCCAGGCTCGGGGAGGGAGAGGAGACTGGGACGATTTCATAACTGAAGAATGTTGTTCCTTGAGGGAGAATCAAACCACCCTTCAGTTTTGCTTCACCTACAGCAGGAGGGGGGGAGAAAAAAAAACAGCTCAGTCGCATTCTTGTGCGGCAGATCCCCCAGGGTAGGAACATACTTGAGCTCCTACCCAGAAAGAGAGAAGGGGAAAAGGAGACAGAGAAAGCAAGGAAGCAAAAATCTGTTTTGCAGCTTGGATTTTAAGTCACCCAGGATCTGAGTGCAGCTGTCCTGGGAGGCAGTGGGGTTCCCATCCTCCCTCAGTGGCTCCTAAAGCATCTCCCCTTTGCCTCACAGGCTATCTGCACTCCTTTCACTGAAAAGGATCGATTTTAATGCCTTCAGGAAATCCTTTCCAGGCCCAAATCTTGCCGAGGCTGCCTCACAATCTGTGGTAGCTCATTGCTCATTCAGGACTAGGCTTGAGCTGTGATTCAGCAGTGCCAAACTGTCACCAGACTCTGGTCCTGTTAAGAGCCATGTTCTGATATCTCATCTAAGACCAGACTCTTTTTCCCCCATCAGCCTTTTTATGGAAAAAGATCCCATATGTTTTAGCTAAGACTATATTTATGTATATTTTTTTTTTTTAGCCAGGCCTGATCTCCAGAGGTCTCTTCCAACCCTAGCAATTCTGGGATTTTGGAGTGAATCACACATTAAACAGGAATGGCGTTGATGAGCTTAGCTACCAGGGAATGGTGATGTCCAGGGGATCCTGTCCTGCTGCTGTTGAAGGCAACACTTGACCCTAAATCCCTCTTGCTCTTTGTGTGTCACCCAGGGCAGAGGAAGAGCAGAAATCCCTCATCCCACCCTGTTTGAGTACTTCCCTATTCAATTATCCAGAGAGGTGTGGACTCTCTATCCCTGGGAGTGTCCAAGGCCAGGCTGGATGGGCTTGGAGCAACCTGGGAAAGTGGAAGGTGTCCCTGCCTGTGGAATGTGTCCCTGCCCATGGAAGGGGTGTAACGAGATGAGCTTTAGGGTCAGGGCTGTGGGACGGGGTTTTTCTCCTCCTCTGTGGTCTTGGGAGTGTATGGGCAGGAGTGCAGCTTCATGGAGAAACATTCAGACAGGTGCCACTGCTGGGTCTTCCTTGCAAATCCCCAGGAAATGGGAGTTTTGGTCAGTTTGGACTACTTGGAATGCAAAAACCAGGATTCGTGTATGGGGAAAGAATTGAGTCTGATCTCTTTCTCTCTATCTAAACTTATTCTGCTTATTGTTTCTGATCTAAAGACACTACAACTCATTTCTAGTATGCCAGAAACTCAAATCTCAACTTCTGGACAGTAGAAAGAACCTCCCACTTACATTTTTGCAACAAAATAATCAAAAAGAAAAATCCTGTAATATTGAAAGGGAAAATACTGTTATTTGTTTCTCCACCTGTATTTTATGAAGCGGAGAAAACCATGGCAATGGCCACATGACCTGAAGTGACCACTGAGCCACAGCTCATGCTCAGCCACTTGTCTGAGAGGCCTGGCAGTTTTTAATGCAGTTGTTGCACCTTTCAGTTTACCAAAGAGAAGGGAAGATTTTTGAGTTGCCTCTAAAAAGACGCAGGATAAAACTTTAGAGGATGTAGGAGAAGGCCACCTCATCACCGACAGCAGAAAGTGAGCAGTGCAACCTGACAGGCATTTTCCATCTCCAGCTGAAGTGCCATGCATTGGGAATTGTGCCTTTTGCCTTTATTTTAGCTTTTGTTGCCTGAAGAGGCTGTTCATGCTTAAGCTGTGAGTTTAGAGTCTCTCGGTGCCGCGTGAGCTCTCTTTGAAACTCCTCTGGGCAGAAATATGAACCAATCTCCAGAGAAGTAATACAATTAAAGCTTATCATGGCCCTGTCTCTTTAAAGGACCTCAGCACATAATTAAGTCAAAATAAAAGTTTCCTCTCTCTCCTCCCCCCCATTCAATAAAAGTAAATTACCTCCAACTATTTAAGCCCGCTGTTCGTTTAAATTTAAAAAGGGAGCCCTTGTCTATCTATTTCTTTCACTCACTCCCACCTCCTTCTGCTAAAGACTGGCCAGGGCTTTAAACCTGCCAGCTGGGCTGAGAAATGGTTAATAGTTATTGTGGAGGAGCAGCTTTTAATGAACTATTGAAGAATGATACATTGATGGAGTAATGGGAGTTTAAGTCTCTCTGTAATGAAACAGGTTCTCAGCGCCGACCCATTGTGGTGTAAATACGGCACGTCTCTCCCACTGTTTGGTCAGGACTAAATAGCAGAGGCCAGAGGGGGGTCTGCTTATGGGGTCTCCGCTTTAGTTAATCAATCTGATTGGATTAGGGTCACTGCGATCCCTAATAATGTCAAAGGTTACGCCAAACTGGATTAAATGCTTTGTTGGAGAGGGCTCGGATTCTTTCAGCCCCGGCCGGCAGGGCTTGTTTATTAGACTTTAACACTCGTGTGCAGCCTTGGGAAGCCCTTTCTGTGCACACTGGGAGCACGAGGGGGTGGGAAGGAGCCGGGGCACGGGTGTCCCGTGGCTCTGCACCCATGGGATGTGTCCTGTGAGGATGTACATCAAATCCCCCAGCGGACAAATGAGAGCCTAATGGGTGACCGAGGCCCGTGGGGCATAAATTCATTCCGGAAATAATGGCTGGCCACTGACCCCGCTCTGAGGCAAATGTCGAGAGTCACAGCAGTGGTGGTGTGACCCTCTGCTCGTGTCCCTTGGGGTTAATCCTGTCTGTGTCCAGCAAAGCCCTGTCCTTTCACTGAATTCACAGAATTCACAGGATTCCCAGAATGCCAGCTGAGCACAGGCATCTTTCCGGGAGTTGCAGAGAGAGATAAAATCACCCCTGAGTCTCCTTTTCTCCTGAGTCTCCTTTCTGGTGCAGCCCCTCTTTGGGCACCCACCAGGCTGAGCATGGGATGAAATATGGAGTATTTCAGACCACTGCATTGCTTTGCTGTTAAACTGGGGGGTGATAGGGCCTTTCAGCACTTCCATCTCAAATCAAGGTGGGATGGGATCTCCCTGTCATCTTAGCCAGAATGACCACAAAGCCTAAACATTTCCTATTGTCTTCGCTCACCGCGTTCCTGCAGATGACACTGTCCTACAGTGTCCTTCAGGCAGTGACACCAAATAACCCCTTTGAAGGTCCCTGGCAGTGGAGAGGGGCAGCACTAACAGTGTGTTACCGGCAGGGATCTGAAATCCCTGGATCTCCAGTGCCTCATTCCTTCCCACAGCAGAGCACACAATGCCTGTTCATGGCCTGACGTGACTGTCATTATCCAAGCAGGCTTCTTGCGTGATCCAGACTGGAGAATTTCCCCTCGAGACTTCTGGAATGAACCCAAAATCTGAATTTGACTGCAACATCTATTCCCAAAGGACATTTTGCCTTGACATATCACCAAGAGATAGACAGCCTCCTCTTAACAAATCTCCTCCCCTGCTCTGGTGTTGACAACCAGCCCCTCTATCTTCTCTTCTAGCACTGACCATTTTCTTTGCTGCTTAGACTTCCTAAAAAGTTAAAACTGGGGCCTGCAGAAGAGCAGTGGGTCAGCAAAACTTTGAGTCCTTGATGCCAGACAGTGAGACAGGTCGAGGTAGTTCCAGTT